TGTCTGTTTTCTGTGTGTTTACCCAACTGCAGCCCCCCCCTTCACACTCTGGCACCCATACATCTTCATTTCCTTTCTCCCTTTGCTGTAAAGAAGTGCTGATGTAAACCCAGTTTTTCCCACCCCTCTCTCTCTCTCTCTCTCTGGCCATTATGGGATGCCGAGATGGATGGGCTGGGTTTCCTGTAAGCAATAAAACATCTTTATCTCGCACGCTGGCCAGCACAGTGTTACCTTACATGCACAGAAAGCTTATGGGCGTAAAGAAAAACATAATATGGCCTCCTGCTCCTGTTTCCGACTGCGCTTGAGCCTCAGACGGCACTCACTTAGAGGACGGATTAAAGCTGCGACAGTGGTTTTACAATCAATACAGTCCACACACAATGCATATGCAATACACAGAGCATAAAAACAAAAAAAAAAAGAAAAGGAGAACATGCTGAACTGATAATGCTCGCCACTCTCGGTTTAAATCCTTTGCAGCCGACAGCCAGAGCAACCCGTTAGCTCTCACTTTGCTCTGCTTGTTAACCTCTGGAGCCACAGTGTTCCTCCCAGGAGGACCTCTGAGCTAGACAGCTATCAGGGAGGCTCTGATTGGATTTGCTAATTCTGTGAGCCGGATTCCGCTCGCCCAGCGTTGACCACGTGTACCCACACGCCCGGAAAGTAACTTCAGGCTATTCTATCTTAAAATATCAGCCGACGGATGACCCAAATTGCCTCGGCACCGTCTGGCCACATTTTCAATTCTTTTGCAGAGGAATCTGATTTTAAAAAGACTCCAGCACCAGATCGAATGGCCTGTTCAGGTTGCTCGTTACTGGTTTGGATCCGGGCTTTTGAAACCCGCAAGCCACGGTCGCCGATTCCAGATCAACACCTCTGCTCTTAGCGCACGCTTCACAGCCCATTGCCTGTGTAGGTGTTAACATTATGACCTTTATTAGATACGATGGCTGCTTGAGCCCCCATTTGCTTTTACAACAACGCAGTCCGGCCCCGGGCCGGCGAAGAGTCAAATTCAGGTCGGTCAGGATGCGGCAGTTTACACTTCGACCTCTATATGGGCACTCCATCAACTCAAGCATCATCAAAAGTGTACAGAGCATCATTTCACACCCATAATGTCTGTTCCTTATTGACCAGGAGGGAAAAGGCTAGATTTTTACTGCAGCATATTAGTAAATGATCATCATTTATCTGGTGGGAGGTGTGTTTGTGTGTGTGTGTGTGTGTGTGTGTGGGAGGGTGTTGATCAATACTAATGGTTCAATCATTTCTTTACCAGGTGACTCCTGGCTTTGACTCCGGGTTGAAACAAAAAGCTCCGTGTCCTTTGACATTCCGAGACACCCACAAAGAAACCTTGTCTCCTAGAAATTACAGTTATACACTTTATTTTGCTAAATATCTTTAGTGGGAAGTAAGAAATGGAATACAATGTTTATAGATGTGTTTCCATTAGTGTATAATCAGCTGAAATTAGGAACTGTTACGGTAGAATGAGGCGTTTTTCATGTAGAGATTCGGCTCAGAATGAACAAACCAAACGCAGGCTTGAGCTCTTTTGAGTTTTTATTTGCACGTTTCGCGGCCACCGTAGTTTCTCCTTCGTGCTTGGGAAGGCAGGGTGAAACTTCTAGTAAGTTGATGATTTGGAGGTTTCGGACTAAAAACAAAAGCAACGTGGACTATTTTCTGTCATTTATTACAGTGTATTTGAACTGTTGTTCCATCAGCCTTGCTTTATACTTTTGACCTTGTGCTTTGTGATCCTTGATTATCCTCCATTTATTAGAGATCATTCTTTATCTCTGTGAGTGTGTTATATGTTTCGTAACCTCCATGTTTTATGTTCTATGTGGTAGAACAAGACATATATACAAATAGTCTGACTTTTTCCTGCTGGACACAAGATGTCTCCTACTTCCCTGTAAAGTCCCTTCTCAGTGGATGTGCACTGGTGGCTTTAATTCATACAAGTGTGATGTAGAAGCTTGGATACTGGACCGGGATTAGCTTCCAAACTGAAAAAAAACCCAAAACATTCTGCACAGTGAAGAAGGAACAAGAAGAGAAACATGCTTTCAAGTTGTTACAAAAAGGTGAAAAAGTGAAGCTAAATCTTATACATGTTTGAAATAATAACATATTTTACAGTGAACCCGACTGGTTTTAGCTGAGGCTCAATGATCCATGCTATGAGCTTTGTTTGCCAACAGTTCATCTGCTAACATTAACCAGCAAGCCAGCTAGGCTATTCTCCGAAGAGCACACAAAGGCAGCTGATCAACCGGGGGAATCAGACAGCTGAGATCACACTTAAACTGATAATTAATTAGCTCCATTTCTCATCGCCACCACCAGTGCACCGGGGGACTGCACATGTGCGTCTGCGCTTGTTAAGGAGGGACAATTCGTGGCAGTCGTCCAGTGTTGAAGCCAAAACAAGACCGGTCAAGCTGTTTTGTTATTTTTGCACCAGCGTTTGACATTTGGTGCGTGCTTTTCATCCAATGCCGGGGACAGTCTGCGGTTTTAGCATGGGGGATGTGTCCAGCAGGAAATAGATAATGAGTGCTTTTGTTCTGACAGTGACAGTGCTTTGCTTTATCCACTGAGCAACACTATAAACAGCACAGCCCCGATAAATGCTGCACTCTCTATTTCTTTTATTTAAAAAAAAAGAAAAAAAGAGAGAGACTATTTTCAAGTTGTTAGGCATTCATTTCAATAAAACTTCTGCTACTAAATCTACTTCACCAGCCTGGTGGAATGACCCACAGGCATAATTGGGAGACAAGTTTTAAAAGTTGAGGATTTATCGGCTCGCTATGCTGAAATGAGGCCTGGATCCTATCGCAGCTTGCTCTACAAGGAGCACAGATTTGCGAAACAATACTGCCAAATATTAAGCTTGATGTGACGTTCCCTCCCATGCAAAGAGAAAAAACAGAATGACACAACACTGTATTATAGAACACAAGCATGTAAAGTGCCTGAGGTTTGTGAGTTAAGGTCCCCGTGTTGCAGCTTTAGCGTGGGATTCTGATATCCAAACTCTCTTCTTGTAGAACAACAAGACAAAATTGAAGGGTCATTTTTCAGAGGTGGTAGTAGTGAGGTATAATGTTAACGGCAAAGAATATTAGATGTTAGAGTTTCAGATAAATGAGTGCAAAGGGCTAATCGAGTCTGGGGGTTAAGGTTGAGGTGAAGGGGTGGCAAATGAGTGTGAGTCAATAGAATGTCCTTGCAGACATTACGAGGCAATATACGTGTGCATGCATGCGTGTGAAGTCTGTTTTAGAGAGGACTGATTGATGCGTGTAATGGGTTGGAAACAAACATGCATATCCTCAAATAGTCTATGCAGGTTTAAAGTGTACAAGTATATTATATAAGGGACTGTACACAAATTATTAGTGGGGAGGGGAGGTGAAAAATAGGTACATTTTCTTTTTACTTTTTTTGAGATTTGAGAGAGCAGAGAGGGGCCATTTCATTTTTATCATTCCAAATGTATATTTTAGCCTTCCCCATTCATGATTAATTAAACTAACTAAACAAAAGTCTGCATCATAACAGAAAGTAAAACTCTATTGCTCACTATTGTAAAAAATGATTCAGTTAAAAAGAGTTCTCCACTGACTCAACACCAGTTCTATAACACCAACATGCTCACAATGTTTAAAAAAAAAGGAAGAAGAGTCAAAGCAGCCTGGTGCTTACATCACCCACAATGCAACTTGACTAACAGTTGGGTCAGAGATTCGAGTGCGTTATGGTAGCTAACAGCTAATGTAGCCTCGAGCCGCTTGCCTCAAGCAGAGATGAGGAGCAAGCTAAAGAAGTCTTTAACTTCACTTTTTTCTAACTCCACAACTCTGTTTTTTTTAGACCCACCCGACACTGACATCACTTGCAATTAATCAGATTTCAGCTTCACTTGAAGCATTTTATCAGATTTTTGCCTCCAGAGCTACATATATGCAGTAGTACTCCCCAATGTAAACAGACTTTGATATGTCAAATTGATGGAACTTCCCTTTAACATATTAAGGTTCAAATAAGATTACAAGAAACATGCTTTTTAAAAAGTCAAATATGAGACTCAACCCTCAATCCCCACTCCAATAATTTGTGTACAGTCCCTTATTGATGATAACTTCCAAAGTGTTTGCTGTTTGCTGCTCCACACTATTGCAGTCCACTCCTCCATGTTTTATTTGATTCGCAGTGAGAGTTCATTTCATCAACCCCTACAAGAGTCAAAGGTTGGCGGAACACTCTGGCAATCGGCAGATCAACAGACCCCGAGACATGAAAGGGAGCGGAGAACTATAAGAGCTAAAGATTTATTGAGTGACTGAGCGAAAGAGAATAGAGCAGAGAAAGCGATGGGATCCAAAGATGTAAGAAATCCAGGCAAAAGGAAAGAGGCAGAGAGAGGAGGTGGTAGCGGATCGAGACAGCGAGTGAACACGGCATCTGGCTCGTCCCAAGAATCCACCTGGCAGGGCAGGTTGACTGAGTCAGCCACTCCGACGCCTTCGCGGAGCGCGGAGCTCCTGCACTGGCAGATGCTGAAGTGACAGAGAAAGGCACACTAATTACCTCTGAGGTTTGTTTGTGGTGTGCCGGGGGCCTCCGCTGATGAGAAACACATACTAGGACAAGATCAGAGCAAGGCAAACTAGATTATGTGTGCGCTGAGGCAGTGCTTACTTGGAAACTAGTCGTACACTTAGGAACGGATCGCTTTGACAAAAGAAGTGTCGCTTGTAAGTGCTGTTTTGCAATCCCACTCAGAGAGGGGAGTTTTAAAAGCTTTTTTTTTATGTTGGACAATTGGTTTAATGTATGGTTTGGAGGTGGAAATGGAAGTATCATCTGAATATACTACAGCAGAGTGTTTGCCTCCATTTAAAATGTTATGAAATATTGCTATTAAGAAAGTTTAAGAGCAT